TTTTTATGTGAGAGCTATACTTTAAAAATGCACATACACAAATACACAACCTTTGTAGACTGTTAACCATTGAGGTACTCCCACTTAATGTACATATGTGGCAGGGAAACAGAGATTCAAAATGACAGTCAAAAATTAAAATGAGGGGTATCTAGATGGCTCAGTCAGTTGAGCATCCAACACTTGATTTCGGCTCAAGTCATGATCTCAGGATCGTAAGATCCAGCCCTCCATCAGGCTTCACACTCAGCATGGAGTCTGCTGGAGATTCTCTTTCCCCCTTCCTCTGTCCCTCCCACTGCTCATTCACACACACACACACACACACACACACACACACATACACACACACTCTTTTTCTAAAATAAGTTAAAAAAATGATGAGGCACCTGGGTGGCTCAGTCGTTAAGTGTCTGCCTTCAGCTCAGGTCATGATCCCAGGGTCCTGGGATCGAGGCCTGCATCGGGCTCCCTGCTCAACTCTCCGAACTCCCTGGGTTCCCTCTCTCACTGTGTCTCTGTCAAACAAATAAAATCTTAAAAAAATTAAAAATAAAATAAAATAAATTTAAAAAATTTAAAAAAGAACTTTTTGATCACTTTTGGAAGATTTCAGGAAACCAACTCAATTTAAAAACTGGTAAATAGGGCGCCTGGGTGGCTCAGTTGGTTAAGCGACTGCCTTTGGCTCAAGTCACGATCCTGGAGTCCCGGGATCAAGTCCCACATCAGGCTCCCTCCTCAGCAGGGGGTCTGCTTCTCCCTCTGACCCTCTTCCCTCTCATGCTCTCTGTCTCTCATTCTCTCTCTCTCAAATAAATAAAATCTTTAAAATAAAAATTTAAAAAAATAAAAGTAAAAACTGGTAAATAAAAGGGAGTCTAGCATTTATTCTGCCTTTTCCATATAAGTTGTATTACATGGAAACAAAAAAGTTGGTAAGAGAAAGTTCTTTATAGCAGTCCAAATAATAAATGAAGAAGGAATAAAATCAGAATAGACCATTTTGCAACCTCTTATAAAATAATGGATTGAAGCAATGATCATCAATGGCTGTGAAAATCATTAGGTGAAAAGCTGATAGGGAACTTTCCAATGGATAGATTAGGCTGGCAATACTTGAACCTAGTGATCAGTCTTATCAATACAGAGAGGTTACCAAACATTATGTGCCTTGTGATATTATGCAAAAGAAGGTATAATAATCTCTAAAGTATTCTTTGAAAAAAAATTAAACCCAAGTCTGATCAAGCCTCTGGATTTAACTACCAGCTCATAAGAAACACTGTGGACAGAGGAACATGCTAAATGACACTACAAAGATGCAATCAGCAATATCCAAAATGTGAAAAATTCTGTAAGACAAATAACCTACTTTATCAAATAAATTACAGGGGGTGGGAGGGAGGATAGAGAGAAAAGGAACTACACATTAAAAGAGACTTAGAAATATATTAAATGCAATATGTGGACTCTGTTTAGATCTTAACTCAAGCAAACCTGTATTAAAAAAAGCAAAATCCTTTATGAGACAATTGTAAAAATTTTACTACTAATTGGATATTTAATTAAAGATTAACTGAGGTGTGATGAGTGTTGTGATTATAGTAAAAAAAAACAAAAAATGTGTCCCTATCTTTTAGAGATATATGCACACATTTATTTACAGATAAAATTGATATGACATACAGGAATTGCTTCAAAATAATTTGGGAAAAAGGTGTGGGAAGCACTGGTATAAATGAAATAAAACTGGCCATGTTTTAACTGTTGAAAGAGGGTGATTGGTGTATAAAGGTTCATTATACTACTCCCATTTTTATATATGTTTTTAAATGCTCATTTTAAAGTTTGAAAAAAAAAAATACAGAACTCTCCTTCATAGATGGTTAACCTCTGAGGTGTTCTTATTTAACATAATAATTGTGCTTACCTACCCATGAGGCACTATTGCAGGTGTTGAGACACGGTATAATAAGAGACAAGCATTTTAAAATAAACTTCAATAAAGCAACTGACAAATGAAAGAGAATTATTAAGTGGAAGCACATAATTTCAGAGATTTGCCAATAGCAGTTAACAAATATGAACATGAACAATAAGGAAGCAGGTTGTTGTGGTGGGGGGGGTTGTTGTTTGGTTTTTTTTGGTGATCATCTCCCTACTTCCTCCTTTCTACACAAACAAGGATTTTATATTTGACAATTTTTGGTTTCCCTTTTTAGGAGGCCTTAAAATCAAAATTATGACAAACACATTCAACTACTCCCCAGTTTAACTTTCTACTACAACATAGTAACAAAAAAGCATTTAATTAAAGTAAAGCAAAACTGAGCAAAGTAAGAAAAAAATTAAAAACAACAGCTTGAGAACTTTCCATGTAATCCTGGATATCAAGGCCAAAATGTCCCTCTATAAAAATGTAAATAATAATGATAAACTACAACACTTGAAATTGGTATATTGCGCAAGCCCAATAAATACTGTTCATGTCCTACAAATCAGAAAATATAGGACAAAGAATTATAGACCTCTTTTAAGACTTAGTTTGAAATCTGACACCTAAAAAATTTAGATATTATAAAAATCCAAATCTACTTATATACATATACATTTATAAGCAGTGGCTTAAACATTTCAAAATAAAATATATAGTTGTCCTTTATTATTTTTTTAATTTATATTCTTAAAGGATCTTTCAAACTGTTAAAATACTAAAACTCTCTTTGCTAATATTTTAGTGTAACTGCACACTGGATAGGTAACACTAGAAGAAAGCACTTTCGAAAGATATATGTTATATAAAGAAATAAATAGATCTTACTTGTCGAATGAGCCATTCTGTTTCATGAAAAAAGAAGAGGCTAGTCAACTAATTTCTAGGTCACAACAGGGGAGCAAGTAACATAGGACAGAAAGAATAAAACAGGTTCAAAAGAAATATAATTTTGATCACACCTCACTCCCCATGAAAAACTTTCAGTTCAAAAAAGCATTAAGGAGGGCGCCTGGGTGGCTCAGTTGGTTAAGCGACTGCCTTCGGCTCAGGTCATGATCCTGGCGTCCCCGGATCGAGTCCCGCATCAGGCTCCCTGCTCCGCAGGGAGCCTGCTTCTCCCTCTGACCCTCCCCCCTCTCATGTGCTCTCTCTCTCTCATTCTCTCTGTCTCAAATAAATAAAAAAATAAAAAATAAAAAAAAAGCATGAAGGAAAAAAGTGAAATACATAGAGCAGCTGTAACCACTTATAAAGCTCATATTGGGAGACAGGAGTAAATACATAGGATCCTGTTAGGGAATAAAAATGGCAGGTGTTATTCAACATATTTTTCTGACTTAGGGGACATATTTTGGTGTGTGATATCTCTGAAAACATCCAACTGTTAGTTCTCTGATAACTCAGTTCAACCCTACACTGTTATGTGTATATTCAAATAGAAGCAGCCAACATAAAGGCCAAGCCTTTATGCAGAGGTGAGCAGACCAACATTGGGCAATACAACCTGTGTATCTCTACTGCTTTGTCAATTGTTTTAACAGCAACAGGAATCTACCTCTTTCTGAGAGGCAAAAATTGTTTTAAAAGAACATCAAGTACTACATCCTTAGAAAAGTGACCAGTTAAAACAGCAACTAAGAAAGAAAATCAGATGACTGAAGTACTGGATAAAGATTTACTAGCCATAAAAAAAAATGGCGCCAAAGTATTTGATACCAGTGTCTTATTAAAAAAGAAGAAATAACTGAGATCCAAACATGAAAAGGCTTATGGTCTTAGATCAATCAAGGCCCAAATTCTGTCCTTTTGTTCTCTAGTTCTATATTCTTTTCATTACATAGCACTACCCTGTCTTTCAATGAGTGAGGTCTTAATTAGATCGTTATTAAAACAGCTTGCATTTACTGAAAACCCTGGGCAAGCAAGTTAGATGTGTATGTCCCATTCAGTTTCTCCAATGACCCCATTAGAACATGAGGTAGAACTACTACCCCCACTTGCCCAAGTTCACATATGTTTTCAAGCAAAGCAAAGAAAAATAAAAATTCTGTCTAAAATGCAAACACTCTGGTAAATGTGTTCTCTTCCCAGACACCAAAGCCTAATTGGGCTGCTGTTTCCCACAGATTTGTCCACAGGAATTCCATATTAACCTTCTTGTTCTGAACCCTTAGTATCCTGTATAGTTCCATCAATCTAAGACCAGAACCTGTGAAATTAGCATTTTCCAAGTCCCTTTCATAAAGTTACCTCTCTTTCTCATTTGTTAAGTATCCTAAAAAACACCCTATTTCTTCTAAGCTTCACATCCAGACCATTAACACCAATGAGTGCTAGTTCAGAGGTAAGCATAATAAGCATCCATTAAATCTATCATGTTGTTTTTTAGAATTTTTTCCAGGTACCTTTTCAATACTTAAAATTTTATTTATATGCTAACACATATCTTCATTCAAATAATCCAGACTCTTGTTAAATCATAAAGATTTTGAGAGTAAATTTTGTCATACAAATACTTTACATGCAGATATAATACCACACCATACAAAATACATATTCTTCTCTAAAACTATGGTAAATGTTTTTCTCTATTCTTCCTAATATACTTTCAACTGTATCCAATCCTTAGAATAACTTGAAGAAACTTGAAGAAATAAATGAACCTAATCAAAATAAACTCTAAGGGCCACAGCACCAAAGCACCAAATCCTTAATATTATTTGCTCCAAGAACAACTGCAGAACAGTTTTTTAAAAATGCCATAATATAAATGCAGACCATTATATTGTAACATGAATTATGTTAATATAATTTCCTAAGTTTAAATAACACACAATAGATTGCTAAAAATAATTAAATAACAACCAAGCAATTACTTCAAATATCAAAAATGTCATCTCTTTACTGAATGCCAGTTATTCATTTCTATCAATAATTGTCCTGCAGAAGTCATAAATAAATGGGAACAGTATCTACCTGAAAAATGTTCTGAGAAACTTACCATCATTTTGGCTCTTGCCCTTCATCTCCTCCTTCCACGATAGGATGGTGTTCAGGGGAACATAGTCCCTTACGTATTCTTTGCGTCTCTCCTCTAAGGTCATCTTCAGTAAACGTTCTTGCAAAATAAAAGCAGAATCTCCATTTGTATTTAACTTTTAAGTTCAGGAATTATTTTATAATTTAGATATTAATCATGTAAGCAAACCAAAGAACTGGTTGGGCTTGAGAAACATCAAAATGAAAATCTAACGACTCCATATCTGAATGTTAAAAAGTGTCAAGTTAATACCATATTACTGGGGGTGAGGGGTGGCATGTCAGAGCCTGATGAGGAAGACTCTTATGATAGTCCAAGAAATAAATGAACTCTTTCAATCAACATATATTAACAGTCTACTATGTGCCAAGTAATACGTTTATACACTGCAGGTGGAAAGGTGATCCTTAACCTTGAGGAGTTCACAAGACAAAACAGGAATGGATAATATACAAAATAATAGCTACATAAATAAAATACAAAATCCTAAGGCGGCTATGTACAAATGCTAAGAGCACAAGAAAGGCAGCCACCACAGTATTTCCTTAATTCAAACATGCCATCAACAATAAAATTGAACTTTCAATTTAATAATATCTTTGTGGAGGTAATTAAACACTACTTTCAATACACATCTTGATAAGATTAAAATATCTTTAAAAATGCATCTTAGAATTAATGACAATATAAAAAATGTTTTTAAAAATGCATCTTAGAATTAAGAACAGTAAGTTCTCTGTAAGTGCCAGGTACTTCACACATATAATTTCATGTAAATCATCTTTCCAACAACTCAGCAAAATTGGTAGTATTATTATTCTTATTTTGTAAATAGGGAAAAGAAGCACATCAAAGTTCAGTGGCTGTCCAAAGCAAGAAAGCTTTCCATTAAAACCCAGTCAGATATCTCCAGTAGTCAAAAACTATAGCCTATACTATTAGTCACTATAGTGTATTACCTTCACCAGAAAAGCTCCTCAAATGAGGTGTTTCTGTATGTCAGCTGTCATGTATCATTTCTTTTACCAAAGGTCTCCACAATGTAAAGAGATTGACAGTTGTACTCTCTCCAACTGTCTTTTAGCACACTGCAAAGTGAACGGATTTAAGGATAGTAACTAGCTTTAGGTGTCTAACCTCATAAAATAACCACTTTAAAATATTCTTTCCAAAAAATAAAAAAATAAAAAAAATAAAATAAAATATTCTTTCCAGAAATAAAGGTATTAATTAAAGTACAAGCGAACAGGAAACAGGAAGCCAACATTTTTCCCTGCTCCTAGAACTGTCTTTTCTTCAGCCACGTTAGGAGGTAATAATAACAAGGTATTTTAACCAGATGTGATATAATCAAATCACAACACTACAATACTCAAGGGTCAACACCATACTGAATGTAAGATGCCTAAAGGGTATTTAAGTTGAAATCCAAGAATCTGGAATTCAAGAAAGAGATCTAGCTAGCCTAGAGATTTTGGAAATTATTAACAAAATTTCTGGTCCTAAAGGACGTTCATAGGAAAAGGTAAGGGATGTGATCGAACCTCAAAAAAACAACTACAGGGTGGACACAAAGAAGGGAAAAATGAAATAAAACTTACATATCACTGGAGGTATAAGGTGAATCAAAATGCCAATGATGTAGAAACCAGCAAAGAAAAGAGTTTTAATAAGAAGAGGGGAGTGGGGGGATGGGGTAACTGGGTGATGGACATTAAGGAGGGCGCATGATGTAAAGAGCACCGGGTATCATATAAGACTTATACAATAAGAAATTATGAACTCTACCTCTGAAAGTAATAATACACTACATGTTAGTTAATTGAATTTAAATTAAAAAATAAATAAAATAAGTAGAAGAGGGGAAATACTGTCAATTGCTACAGGAAGATCAGGAAGAATAAAAATTAATAAGCCATTGGTTTTATCAATTGGATCACCAACAGCACTGAAAAGAGAGCAAAATGGTTAACAGAGCTGTCTGGATTCTAATCCCAAACCATGCAAATCTATGTGATCTTGGGTTATTTAATCTCTTTATGTCTCAGTTTCTTTTTGAGGTAGGTATTATATACAATTTATAGATGAGGCAATTAAGCCAGAGAGGCTGAATAACTTACCTAACATTCCACAGCTAGTGAACAGTACAAGATTCAAACCAGACAAATATTCAAACCTCCTGACCTACAGTATACTACCTCATAGAGTTGTTGTGAAAATTAAATGAGATAACCCATGTAAGGTACAGAAATCCTCCCTTATCTGCAGTTTTACTTTCCATAGTTGCAGTTACCCATAGTCAACTGCAGTCGGGAAGAAGATGATCCTCTGACATATTGTCAGAAAGTCAGTAGTAGCCTATGTCATGTCATTCACCTCATCACACAGGCATTTTATCATCTCACATCATCACAAAAAGGATAAGTACAGTACAATAAAATATTCTGAAATGCCACATTCACTTAGTTACTCTTAATAGGCTACTGTGCCTAATTTATGAATTAAACTATCACAGGTATGTATATACAGAAAAAAGAACATAGCATATATAGTATTCAGTACTATATGCAGTCTTAAGCATCCACTGGGGGCCTTGGAATGTATCCCCATAAATAAGGGGAGACTACTGTACTTAGAATAGTGCTGGGCACACAAACAGGACTCAAATAGTAACTCTTTTTACATTAGTACCATCACTGTTATTACTGAGTGAATTTAGGAACATTAGTTTCACTGGAGTATAGCTGAGATCCAGGAGACTACAAGGGAACTGAGAAAAAGAAGTCAGAACAGCAACTCCAAGATGAAGCCCTTTGGAAAGAAGGGTATTTTAGGGTAGAGACTCGAGTATCACTACGGGCTGAGGAGGGGAACCTAAAGACACTGACAAACTAAATATCCCCAAAAGGGAATAAATGATAGCACAAGATTTCAAGGAATACAGGAGATGAGACAAAGAGCATAAGAAAAGTGCTTCCTTTAAGACAGGAACAGAGCTGAAAGGAGATGTAAAGAAACAGACAGAGGAAGATATTAGGGCTGTTCATGTTATATGACATGTATTTTCTAAATGAATTAAAAAGAAATGTCATGTGTTTAATGTAGGAGGAGGGGGTCCTGGAATAGGAAGCTTAAAGGAAATGGTAAATTTGGAATACTCACACAAAGGAGGAAAGGGATGACGAGCACTTACCAAACCACTACTAAAAGAGTTCAGATCACTAATATAGAAATATTGCGATATCAGTAATCAGGTTGAGAGAGATTATGAAGCAACTTGTAGTTTTAGTAAATGTCAGAAGGTAATATAGAAGTGCAACCTGGCCTCGGTCGTTCCATTTATTTAAACATTTAAGTATGGACTCTTAGAAAAGAAACAAGATCAATAATAAGAAAATAAGATAAAACAAAGAAATAATTTATGTTCCAGTACTTGAAATTATAATACACATTAAGTGGTTTTCAATTAGGGCTCAAAATAATACATCAATAAGGTTTACTTAACATATGTGCACTCAAGAAGTCCTTAGTTATTTGTTTAAACAATTAAACATACTAAGGACCACAAACATCATACAGTTTCTTTGGCATTACACAAAGTTTTTCCTGAAAGAATGCTTCCCCTTTACAATGAATCTGCTCTATGAACCAAGCATGTAAGTAGACAGTCCTACTATTAGATGGCATACTGAGCTAAAGTGTGTTTACAGAATGCCCTGACATTTCAATGAGGTGGATAAGCCTTCCTTTAGATTTAAATAACAGCTGCAAAAATACAATACCATCCTCACCAGCGCAATGAAAGAAAAAAGGCCAGGCATCCCATCAGCTTCTTTAATACTAACTACCGTACTAGAAATCCTTAGTTCCTTCTTGATGGTACAATACATACTTTTAAATATTAAATATTCAAAAATAGACATCCTGATACACTGAGACATACACTAAAGTCTTCAAATCACAGTTAAGTTTTTCCTTTAACATTAAGCTTCATGCAAAAATAGGTTAGTTTTAGACAAGACAAATTTAATCTGTTAAATACCCTCTTTAATTGTGCATTTGCTTCTTTATTTAGAAAATATTAATTTGGTTATATTTTCCCCTATTGTTAGAAGCAAAAAAAAACCTCAAGACATTAAAGATTCTAAAACGCCTGCTTGCCACAGTCCAAATGTGTAGATGTTAAATGAAGGAACCATTGTAACATCGTTACTTTAGAAACATTATTATGACAGAAAAATACTTCTTAAGTAATCACCATGATTTCATCAGTGAATCATGTATTGCAAACAATCTCCATGATTTCCATTATTTTGCCTTATCAATACAAAACTAACATTCCAAGACCACCAACAAAAATGGGCATAGATGATCTTTCAATGCTTACAAGGTAAATCGTTGTTGAAAGTGTGTTGAAACTAAAGTAACTGCCACTGCAAAAACAAAGATTATCTTACACTACTTTATATATACCAGGCTATTATTCTCAACAGAATTTTTAGTTCTATATAAGCCCATAATCATTAAGACATAATTAAATGACATACAACCTAATCTCTCAAAATTTTCAAAGCCATTTTAATTGTTCAATTATATTAAATCTTCCCACTAATTTGAAAAAAAATCCTTAGTATTTATAAAGGCCAGGACTTGCAAAAACAATCTACAGGTTTTAAAGAGCTATTAGCAAGGAAATCAACTGTCAACCTAGTCACCCCATTATCCTTCTAATATGAAGAAGATGGGATACTTAGGAGAGATCAGCACTACTCTCACCCGACCTCACTCTGGATACGCAGGTCTAGTCTATGATAGCAGTAGCAACGCCAAGTACTTTTTCTACATTTCTGTAAAAAGCTAAAGGGGAAAAAAAAAGTGTGAAAAGAATGAAAGAAAAAACGCCAGAGACTAAAGTTTTATCTCGGAATATTATCTAACTATAATGCCAGAGAAAAAGAGGAGAGGGAGAAAGAAAAGAGGATTGGATGGCACACTTCTATGTCTTACAGGAATCAGTGCCACTTGTCAATCTAGCCAATCTGGATAAGCTTTAATATGCACAAAATTCAGGGGTAAGTTCATTCGTCGAGAGTGACATCAGTTTCACAATCTTACACTGAGCAACTTCTGATTACAAATGGGGATGAAATACACAGAAACACACTGCAGAGAAAAGCCCATTCAGACTTCTCTGAAAGCACTTATCCTCCCGGACAACACGCCCGTTTTGTCTTCCCTAGAGTTCCAGGTTTCAAAAGTCACACTGCGGCGCAGAAGGGGCCTAGAGAAGGGGCAAACGCCCGAAGGTGCAGACACTCTGCCAGCTGGGGAGTGGGGGACAGAGGCCAGGAGTGAATAGATGAGGGTCAGCTGGGCGCGGAGGCAGCAGTAGCTGCAGCCTGTGCGCCCGCCGGCGGGCACGTGTCCCTGGGACAACCTGGCCGGGAGTCCGAAAGTCTCAGCTGCGGTCCCAGGAGAGGATGGGGGACCTGAGCAAGTTGTGCCGCTCCCGAGGACTGCCGCGCGAGGTCCACGCCACCAGCCAGGCGAAGGCAGCCCCATATCGGGGGAAGGTGACCGGGCGCGGCAGGCAGCAGAGGGGCGTGCGCCCACACGTGCGCGAGCTGCAGGTGCCCGGGGGCGGCGCGTGCACGCTGGTGTACGCGCGCGTGTGCGCGTGTGTACACGCGGACTCGCGAGGGAGGCGGCACCGGCCGGGCGGGCGCGAGGCGGGAGCTCGGGCGGAGGGCGCCGCGGCACACACAGCCCTGACCCCC